TAAATCTTGAAGTATATACTAGTATCTAACGAACCTGCTATTAGTTATTATAGATTTTATAAAACAGAAAAATGATTTACTTAAAGAATCTTATATTAAAACCTTTACTTTTGTGAAATAAACTTTAATAAATAAATGAGCATGGTTGTAAATTTTTAACATAGTAATTGGGAATGTTAAAATAAATGAAGAAAAGAAAAAGAGAATCCACAGAAACTAGGATGAATACGATCGATTGATAACGGAATTTTCGAAATATCTTAATTATTTTAATCCAATTTTTTATTGAATAATTGCACTGGTACAACAAACATCTTTTTAAAAAATAGAAAAGACAATAAAACATTAAATAGCGTAGTACGGGCTCGAGGGTAAGTAAAGCGTTATAACTTTGCCTAGTTCAACTACAATAATTATGTAAGGTTGAAGAAAAATATAATGATTATTCATAGAGCATCCTGACTAACGGCCCTTATATTATCTCAATTTAATAACAGTGTTAAAAATAGCATATGAGTTATTAAGATTTTGAGAAATTTTTACAGAGATAAAATTTTGATTAAACTACGAATTGGAAGATATGATGGCATCTAATGGTTGTCGTGGTTACTTCAATACGCTTTAATGATGCTAGTATATTTTTAATTAATTATGCATTACTGCGAATATAGGATCAGAAATGCTTTAACACTTCAATTATTTCATCATACTGTTAACATAAATCAACTTAATATGTATAAATATTAAATAGCCGATTAAACTGACACAAATTGTTATTTGATAAAAGCGTAATAAGTAAAAAATATATTTCTAATATAAAGAAATAATCATAATAATTTAATATAAGTGTTTTGTATTTGGTTATTTCATAAATACTGACACAGTTGATACTACATTCTATATTAATATAATTTACACACGATATAATTGTATATAATACAATATAATACAATATAATTAATATAATATAAACACAAACCAATATACTATAATTTTGTTGATAAATGTCATTCATAATTATGTCTGATTTGACTAATTCTTATATTAAATTTCCTTATATAATTAAGATATTTTATCAAATCAAAGTGATACTGTGATATTGAAAGTTATCAAATATCGCTATTTTTATAACTGAGATCTAAAAATTAGTAAGACATTTTTAAAAAAGTTTCAAAATTCTAGTATTTTGATATCATTATGTATTTTGTAAATCAACATTAAATAATTCTTTTTTTAGTAAAATTTGAGGCAATTTTATTTATCTCATTGCATCATTTATACTAATTACTTTTCAAATACTGAATAGCTGTATACATTATCGATAAAACGACCGGATATTACCTTTTAATGCTTAAACTAATAAATAATAGTATAAGAAATGATTTCACACTGTTAAATTAAAAAAAGGAGTTATGTAATACCTTAATGTCATATATTATTTAACGATGGATATTTTTACTTTTAAGCTTTCATTGATTTCTTGGATTAGAATCTCATATTAGAACTTTACATATTAAAATGTACTCGACTATTTAATGGGTTCAATTAATTAAGTATTCTATTTTATGAATTATCACCTAAATGTTCGCACTATTTTATTTGATAAATATACTCATCAATTAGATACATAATATCTATTTCATTAGGGATCTCCTTTCTCAAATTCTGTAAAATCTTAAATACTATTAAAGAATGATAGTTTGTAAGGAATCCTCTTAATAATGATGCAGAAATCTCTTTGTAGAATATTGGTTTTCCAATACTATGTTCAGGCCTTTTTTGAAGCAGTGAAAGCTATCGTATTATTTATTGAATTCTATGGAATTGAAATCGAATATTGTATTAGATATTTCTAAATTTTACACTTCTATTTTTATGAAAGCTCATGATATCCCATTTAATGTTATAGTATTGATATTAAATGACTTAATTGTATTATATCATATATAATTTCATATTCTAGTTATGTTGCAGATTTGTCTTCATTTATAATGACGATATAAACAAATTAAAACATAGATTTTTATTATTATTACACAAATTCATACAAGAATCTCTATTTTTGTTTCGATTGAAAATTTTTATACAAGTGATACAATTATAATGTTAAATAAAAACATATTTAGTATTAAAACTTCGCAAAAAGTTTCATAAATTTATTTTTATTAAAAATTGTTGCTTAGATGTAAAAATGTTCTTGTTGTCATCGCTCGTTCATAAGGTACATTTTTATTTTTTAATTCAGAAATTATAACAATATTCAACTATTTGACAACATTAACAATAAACAAATTAAATTATTCATCTTATATAATTGCTTTTGTTAAAATTTATTAATTGGTTATAAATATAATATATATTTATATTGTAAATAGAATGCTTAATATTATTATTAAGAACTATTAAATATTCCAATTTTTAGAATCGTAATTTCATAATAAGGATTGATTGATTAATAATAATTAATAAACACAAATTATTTTTTAAAATATAATATTCAAAAACTATTTTCTTATAAATAGTATTCTTCTAAATATGAAATTTAAATACATTTAAAATATTTTTTTTCAATAAAATTATTTATAAATATATTTGAATATAATGTAATATATTTATAACGATATAAGAATATTAATTAAATTAATTTTAAAAATGATATTGAATTTCTTTTACCGACATTTGATCTTATTTTTGAATATACTGTTAAATTACTAGGACACTTATTATGTCCTAGTAATTTTACATTATTAGATTATATCTATTTTTCATCGGAATAGTCAATATATTTACTTATTTCTATATATTTCTTATAAGTATATTAAATATATTTCTCATAAGCATATATTTTTAAAGTAGTGATAGCAAATTTTTTAATATTCTGTATTTGAAAATTTTTATTTTCAGAAAGATAACAGGTAACTTTAATGAGCATTTATTTGATTCTCCGAATTAAAAAAAATTATTAAAACAAAAATTAATAATAAAAATAATTGTCAGAATTCTTGCAATAACTAAATAATAAAACTAGCACAGATTTTCACTAACATTATTGCATAATATTTTTTAGTATAATGAATAAAATACCATGTATTATAGCAGCAATATTTGAATAATCTATAAAATTGAAAAAAAATATTGGAAATTAATTTATTGTGCTTTTGAATTTTTATAAGTTAGATCATATGTCTTTTCAAACAAAGTTGTTAAATTAACTATTTTCATACAAAATATTTTAAAGAAAGAAGTAAATAAATAATTACACATTTAAATTAAATTGATATAATAGTTTTTCGACTAAGTTATTTGCTTCATTCAATGATCTCATTAATTTAATAATTTTTATAATAAAATTGAATATAGAACTTCAATCAAGAATTTAAATCAAGAATTTCAGTCAAGAATTTCATTTATGCCATTAATCAATTACACATCAAAATATGATAATATTTTGAACTGAAAAAATAAAATATATATGTGAACAAATATATATTTTAAATAATATTTTTTATCCTGGTTATTAAATAAAATCATAATTGCAATGTATGGTTTTTGCTTTTTTTAATATAATAAATTAATCTCGAGACTGATATTTATTGTTATTAACGTTATTTAAAATGTCTGTATTTTTTATACAAAATTTCTACTTAATTTTTATTTAAAGTTTTTCATTTAATATATAATATTTGTATTTTTCAATTATTCCCGAAGTGTGCGGAAATATTCTTGTACTCTTTTTATAAGTATTTACAGAAATGAAATCTGGTGATCAAGGAATAATAACCGTGTTCTGATTCTTTACATGAAAATCACTTGAAAACTTTGCATTGTTTTTGCCTAAGATGATATTTATCAAATATGTTTAAATTATATTATTGTCAGCGTGTGTCTGTGTGTATTATCTGTAGGAGGAGTAATTTATTTACGATTAAGAGCTAGATCCGATTTTTTTTTTGTATTCTCGCATAAACACATTGAAGCATTAATCTTTAAGCTACATTTCTAAAGATGGCATTTTGTCCACAATCACAACATGTGATTCTTCGAAATGTCGACGTAGAATTTAGTACTTATAAAATATAGTTTCCATACTATTCTCAGTGACCGTGCAAAATATAACTTAGTATGTAATAAAAACATATTTAAGAGGAAAGTCATTATTTGTTTTTCTAATTTAATTAATGTAAAAATATAACCTACAATTTATAAGTTTATTTAAATTAAATTACTTTTGTTTATAACTTTTCTTCTTTATACAACAACAAAACATTATATGACGAATAAATAAATTATAATATTTAAATATTGTTACTATATTTATGCATTTTTATTGAATTTACACTAACTGAAATTTTGGTTGTGGTACTAAATATTACACGTGAAAATTAAACAGAGTTAGAAAGAAAACCAAAACAATATAAGTAATATTTTAAGATTAAATTTTTTAAATAATTATAATATGTCATTAGCTTAAATGTTCTATTACTTATTATAAAATAAAAATATTTATGTCATCTATTTGTAAAAATGTATGTATGATTTTTAAGTCGCAAAATATTTTTTCAATTTATCTAAAATATTAATTATGTCGTTAGTTTTTCAATTATTTTCGATGCTATTGATATTTCCTTATATATACAATTATGACATGAATAAAAGTTTTAATAAATTTTTTTACAATTTCTTTGAATGTCATCTAATATTGTCTTATAAAAAAATAACATACACTAATACTACATTTTCTAAATTTTAATTTATTTATAAATTTTTAATATAAAGAGAATATTAACAACTCAAATGTTCTGTCACTTGTAAAATGGTACATAAATCTTCATATTAAAAGGAATAAATTCATAAATAAATCTCTTCTAAAATTAATAAATGCACCATTAACGCAATAATATCATTATTATGAGTATTATATTATTTTAAATATCTCAAATCGTGTTTATTAGCATAAAAAAGTATTAAAGAAACATTTTTTATTATTCGTTATTATTTTCTTGATAAGTGATAATAACATCTATTTATTAATGTTTACTTACACAATTCTGTGTATGTACATCAATAAATTGAAAAAACATATAAAATCAGCATAACATAATCAGAATCACCGACGATAACCCACAAGCCGAGAACTGTTCATTTATATCGCTATTACAGTTTTAATCATATCGTGTGTGAGTTTCTCAGCAATGAAAATTATCAACGCAACAAACTTGATTTAAGGTAAATGATATTTTACTTCTCATAAAGAATAAGTATCTTTAAGTATGTAAAATAAATGAATATTGAACAGATTTCATATTATTTATTTCAGAGATTTCACAGTAAAACATAAATAATAATTATAAAAAGTTTCAATTTCATTTGATATAAGATCGTTCTTAAAATAAAACTTCTATTAATCGATAAATAATTTATACGAATTAAATTAAATATTCTTTTATTAAATAATATTTTTATTACAGAATAAAAAATGTATTTATAACCAACAAAAAAGTTAAACAAGTAACGCTATAAACATTTTTCAAAAATCATTATATTAAAATTAACAAAATTTAAATATTTCAAAAATTCATTTATATTATATATATATATATATATATATATATAACAATATATTATATACATAGTCAATTTAAAACATTGGAATTTTGTATTAAACCACTTGTTTTATTTTGTTACAACTTAATAAAATTACATACATCTTTTTTGCTTTTAAATAATTTAAGATCGAAGTCAATCCATTGTTAATCAACTGTAATATTTCTATTCAATTATATAACGAGATAAAAGAAATTTAATAAATTCATCTATAATTATATGAAAATACTCAGATATTGATATACTGTATATGCATGTCATAAATTTTTTTACAGCATTAAATTATTATGAATTTTCATTATTACTTTATTTGAATTTCTTGTTTCCCATAATTATTTAAAAATTCTTAATATTTTGACATCAAATAAAATTTATGAATAATTTCATATAAAATAAACAAAAGTGTGTATAAAAAAATTTAATATATACCATAAGAAATACTTACCGAACATAATTATTTAAATTATTTAAGCATTATAAATAAAAAACTATAAAATTACATAAAATGATTAAATAAAAATTACACGAAATATTTTATCTATAAAATCAGATTTAATTATGTAATTTTTGACTATATAAAAAATTGTAAGAAGGTTATTTGGTTTATAAAAATGTTTTATTTTAATTAAATTCTAAAAGTGAAATCTATTTTAAAAATAGAGCAAAAACATGACGTGTCTAGCCCTATGTGCTTTCATCCTTGCATCGAACGCAATGTTCATTTCAGCAAGATACATGGAAGCAGTTTTTGAATGGAAATACATAGATTATTTATGGATATCCGAAGTTACAAGACAAGAAGCAATTCAAAATGGAATTTATGATTTTTCCCGTATCTTACCCATGGATGTTGATAAATCAAAAGGTAATTGAAAATACAAATTTATTCTTCAAAATATAATTAATATCCGTAAATTCATAATCTTTGCTTATATTAACATAGAATTTATATTTATAAATATATTGTGAATAACAAATTAGAAATAAATAAACTTTGAAAGTATAAAAAAATATATCTACTCAATATATTTAAATAATTAGGAAGGATTTACATAATATGTTTAACTGTTAATAAGTTTAAAAGTTCTTACAGAAGGTTTATTTTTATTACATTTTTACTGTATATCAATAAAGAAATTTATGAAGAATATTTACTTGAATACATTTTATTTTTATAAATTTTAGTAATATATTTAGTAATATAAACAAGAATTTATTCAATTATTAACATTGCTTTAGCAACATTTAAAAAATAAATATTTTCGTATTAAAATGTAATATCCAATCAAAATGTTTAATCTAGAGTTTTTATAATTCTAATAAAAATTAATAGTTTAATTTTTATACACATACACACACACATATTAGATGGGCGAATATTCATATCATTTCTTGGAATGACTGGAGTACCAGCAACATTAGCTACAGTTACTGAACAAAAAGGACCGTCAGGGCCGTTGGTAAAACCATATCCTGATTGGTCATGGTTTAAGAAAGGTGACTGTGATTCAATAACAAGTGTCTACAGAATAGCGGTAAAAATATCGATCGGCTACAAATACTCAATTGAAGGAATAATTGAATGCAATTTATTGTAGATTGATGAATGTAATAGATTATGGGTTTTAGACACAGGATTTTTAGAAGGACAAGATATATTATGTCAACCTCAATTATTAACATTTGACCTTAATACGAATAAATTAATCAACAAAATAAAAATACCTAACCATATTGCAAGAAATAAAAAAAATGAAACTTTACTATCAAATCCAATTGTAGAAACTGAAGGGTTGTTCTGTGAAAAAACAACGGTAAGATTATAAATTGTAATACTGTAAAATATAAATTAACTTTCTTACACACATACACCCACATAATCGCGCGTATGATGTGTAGTAAAAATATTATTACTTAATATTATAATATATTCTATTTGTTAATTACAACTTATATATGCCTTAATATATGATATATAGCTGTAATCCTATCAACTCTTACACCTATTGATCAAAATAATGTTATCGTTTTATCTTGTCTGCTTCTCTGTTTGAAAAATTTTAAAAACTGGTTTAACAAAAATATTATAATATCCTAGAACTTTTCCAACTTCATCATGGATTGTATTAGATTATATAATGTTTGTAACTTTCTACTTCCCTTTGTTTTACTATTTCCTTCTATATTTATTGAAATATCTGTTGTAAAAGAGATTACTACGAAATCATAAATATAATTAGTCAATATAATGATATCAATATTTTTCAATTTTTAAATAATATTTCTAAATATCAAGTACACGTATATAAACAGCAATTAATACCGAGATTAAGAGTAATTTGTCTATTACAAATCATGGATACTTGATAATCTTCCTAATAATAATTCTACTTTAATAATTTCCAGTGTATGAAACTTAAACTTTTCCTTGAGTCATTTCTCAATTCCTAGATATTTAATAAAAATGTATACATGTATGTATGTATACATGTACATATGGATAAATAAATGTAATAATATTTTACGCATGCATATGTAATACAATTCGTCTACATACGATTTTTGTTTTTAAGGTATTTATAGCTGATACGTTTGGTCATGGTATTATAGTATGGGATGGTGAACAGATATTTCGTTTAGAAAGTCAGTTATTTAAGTACAATGAAGAAGCCAAGACTATTAGTGTTGGTAATCATACTCTTGAGCTTGCCGGCGGAATCCTTGGAATGGATATCTCACCGAAAATTTTTCCAGGCGAATCACGCTTTCTTTATTTTCGCCCTTTGGCTTCGTTTGATATTTATTTTGCAAATACAAAGCAGCTTAGACGCGGTGGAACTGGTGATTCAATCAATTTTCTTGGACGCCAAAATATATTAAGTAGTCAGGCGGTAGGGCAAGCGTTTTCATCTGATGGGACATTATTTTTAGGAATGACTAAAGAGATTGCTATTGGCTGCTGGAATCGATACAAAACACTCGATAAGAGCAATATCGTGAGTTTATAATTTTCCTTGATATCAATCAACATCAATATATTGTGTGCATGCAACAAATTGTTTAATATAAAATTAAAAGTAATATTTCTAAATTAACTTTAACTTATATGACAATGAGTAAAAATTGTAACATATTTTCAATAATCTAATTTATTATTTACATTAAAAAATATATTAAAATTATTCTATGAACGTAAATAGATATAAATTTTACATTATCTTCAAGTTAAAAAATTTATTATAAAATTGTAAATTATTTTTTATTTTAAAGTAGTTCAACTTAGTATGAAAATAATCTAAATATTAACACGATTATTTATAAATGATTAAAATTAATACTATATTTAATTAGAATATTATAATTCACTGTAATTGTAAGGATATTCAAGTTATATATATTAGTTACTTATTTTCTATGATAATTAATGAATTTTAAAAGTTAGTTTATTGATAAATTTCAGTTATTTTAAGTTAATTAAAAATTTTTTTTATTATTTTATTGGCAAAAAGTTTCATCATTAATCAAATGAAAGATCAATTGTAATATAAAATTTATATTTATTGGTTATTTATGGTTATTATTATTTCTATGTATATTATTTTTCATTTAATTTCTTCGATTCAAATAGTTCAAATTCTTAACAAAAATTTTCATAAAATTTAATAAATAGGAAGTTATTGATAGATATTATAAAATCATTAATCAGTATTCATACAAATATACTATATATATATATATATATATCGTATATAATTAACGGGATTAACAGCACTTCATTTTGCGTAATTCTTTTAAAACATATTTTTAAAATAGGAATAAAAATATTATTATGATAATAATCTGTTTGAAAATTTTATGAAAATTTTGAAATATATATGCAATAATTTTTACTAAATATGGTCAATTAACTAATTATACAAAGTTTTTCAAACAAATAATATTAAAACAAATAAAATATAACATTTAAAAATTACAATTTAAAAATTTTTTACATTACTTTTTAAGTTTTCTATATTTGGCATAATACTTTTCACTAATTAAAAAAATCAGTTAAAATATAAGTATGTTTTATTCATTAAAATTAAATATTTTTTCATTTGTACACAAAAATTATTTTATTACTCCATAATTTTATTGCATACGATACATTGTATATATCTAAGCATAATTAATAATTTAAATTCGTGATTTTTATCATTTATTTAAGAGAATTATAGTATGCCAATAATAATATATATTAACAGAAAGTAAAATAAAAAATGTCGAATGACATAAAAATATCTATAAAAATGTTTGAATGTACTGTTGTGTTACAGGAAATAGTTTCACAGGATAATGAGCGTCTACAATATGCAAATGGAATCAAAGTTATTACAATTTCGAATAATCAAACAGATGAAGAATTATGGGTATTGACAAACCGTTTTATAGGATTCCAACTTGGTCAACTAAATAGCAACGAAATTAATTTTCGTGTACTAAAAAGTCCTGTAAAAACACTCACAACTGGTACAAAATGTGAAATTTCTGCAAAAACTCAATTTGCATATGAACAAATTAACAAAGACGATGGTACACTTATATTACAAGATTAGTCTAAATATTTTATGATGCACAAAATATTTATGACTAACTGTGACGGAGCTAACTTTAATTGTAGTTTTATTTTTATCTGTAATCTTAGTTTTTTCCTTAATTATCTGATCTAATAAATATTTAATTTATAGTTGTAAAGTGACAATTGGATTAAAAATAATAAAATTATTCATTCCAAAAACAAAATATAAATTTTTATTTAAAAAAATTTGTATGTAAGAGAATATAAAGTGAAACGTCTAGTAATAATGATTATGTAAACTTACTCTTGGAATTGATTCTCATATCTTATTAAGTTTAAATTGTTCATATGATAGTTATCTAATTAAAAGCTGTAAGATAACAATGGTGCGAAAAATAAATTATTTATTTAATAAAATAGAATATAAATTTTTTATTTAACAGATTTTAAATATTAGCAAGTGTGTAATAGTAATTTCTAATTGGAAATTAAATTACTATGAAGTTTAAAAATCACTGAATAATATAGTGGCAATATTAATTTTTAAAGCGAATTCATATTTATTTAATAATTTCTATTTATTAAACTCAAATTATTAATTCAAATTCTTTGGAATATTTGCTCTACTTATTTACATATTTTACTAACTTGATTATACTATTACAAATTATATAAAACTACATTTTTGAAATGTAAATTCTTTATACATATAAACAAATATACATACTTACAATATAAAGCACATCATAAATAATAAAAGCTATAAATATTAATGAAAATAATATATTAAATATATGTGAACACTTTATAATACTAAATATTTTATCATTTTAGATACAATTTTATATGAAATTGGATAGTAATTTTATATTAAAAAGTTTTTAAACATAAATAAGAACGTAAATAGTAAAGTTTTTTTAATATAGATTACATAGATTATATAGATTACACTATTAACTACACTATTTTAAATTGAATAGTTATATTTATTATAATTTGTAAATGAAAAATTTCTAACTTGTAGTAATTCATAAACTATTTATATTTTATATATTTATATTTCTGAAACAATATTGTTTAAACGAGCAACATAAAAACAAAATATTAATGTTAAAATAATTAAACTAATTATTTATTCTTATTAACAGAAATTATGAATTTTCTTATATAACTTCTGACTAAAGTAAATTTTAAATAAAATATAAGGTAAACGATTTATACAATCTAGACTACTATCATTACTATTTCTGATAATATGATAATCAGAAGATAATCTAGACTATTATCTTTACTATTTCTGATTATTGATTATATATTTACTTACTTGAACATAAAAGGACGCATACTTCTAAACGCAAAAATCATGTCTATATTTTTATATTTAATAAAATATCGCGATTTATTTATATTTCTATAAATAAATATTGTTCGTTATCATTATAATAATCTTAATAATGCAATATCATCATCATACGTAAGTATTTAAATTTACAATTGTTTTATTAATTTTTATATTTAATCAATCTCGAGTATAGTTTTTTATACATAAGAAATATATTTGAAAAATAAAATATATTACGCAGACAAGTTAAATTAATATGAAATAGATTTAATAGATCTGAAACAATGTGACTGTATAGAATGACCAAGTCATGGGAATCTCATAATTGGGACGCGAGCCGTACCAAACCGATTTGCTTTCTCTGTAGCGTATTCTATATACTAAACAAATACTCTTACCATGAGCACAATTCTTCTTATTCGACCTTGGATAATTGACAGTTAATGCAGAAAGAAATAATAAAGAATGAATCATTTACGTAATTAAATGGTATTATATTCTACAAGAAGTTTTACTTCAGTAAGTTATCGCGTAATTTTACAACATTTATTTATCTTAAACAACATTTATTTATAATAATTATCAACCGAAATAAATTAAGTTTACTGATTACTATTTGTAGTTTTACTCGGAAGAATAAACATTTTAAAATAGTTAATTTAAAATCTTTTCATTTCAACAATACATTAAAATGTAATAAGAATCAATAATTGGAATTAATTCTGTTTGGTATAATAAAATTGGTTATCAGCCGTAAAATATCTGACAAATTGTAAGATTCAGTTTTATTGAATAATATTTTGGCAATTTTCATTCATAATTTTTCGCTCTATTTGGTACTTTAGTATTAATACGCACCCATAAAAGTATATAATATTATAGATTCTGTTGAGTATAACATTATTCTTATATTTGATAAAATTTTAAATGCATACAATAAATTGAAATATTTGAAATAATATTTTTATAATAAAGTTATGAAACATTTTATATGAAAATTCTTTAATTTATTACAGTGCACGCATTCAAGATTTTTAATATAACTAATAATTAAATTTTATAAAACAATCAGAAGCAACTTAATATCTAAATTTCATTTGAACTAAAATAAGTAGAAAAAAAAATAATTGCTTGTAAGATATGTTATATTAAAATGAAAGTATATATAACTTTCATCTTTAGACTCTGAATTATATGAGTTTATATAAATTTGCATTAATTATTAATGCTTTTATAAATCAAATGCTATTAATTATTCTGATAAGAAACAATTATTTCACGGTGTTTATAACAGCAACAAAATTGATTCAATAGATATTGGTTATTAGGATTTGACAATTTAGTATTATTTGATAACAAGAGTGTGTAACAAACTAAACATTTTTTAAAAATATTCTATGTATAAAAATAGAGATTTATGTATCCCATTGATACAATAATCTAATAATTATTAAATATTATAAATCGTTGAAATAAATAAATAACAATTAATTTTATTATTATTTTATTATAATTTAATAATGTTTAAAGGCAACAAACTAATTTTTTGCAATCTGTTGTCCAGTGTACTCCATAATACCTATATAGATACACAATATAAACTAAATAAAATTTATTTCTCTATTTTATAAGCTGTGAAAAATAACGTAATAAAATAAAACAGTAACTGGAACACGGACAAAAATAAATGCCCCGTTCTTCATTATCTCAAATTTTGTAATACACGACCAGGAAAGAACTTATGAGTTACCAAGCAGAGAAAGGACTGAACACGATGTCCGACGGTGGGGCACGTGTATATACTTTCGCACGATACAGGCACTAATATTGCCCCTGTCTGCAATCCAGATGTGCGAATGCTCTCATTGATAATTCACGCAACAAGCCGTTCTCAGCAGCTTTATTCTTTGGGACATTTTTCATTACTGTCCGCATATTTTCACAAGGATAAATACTGCAAGCAAGGCGAGAAATTTTATAGTGAGAAGAAAAATGTGGTGCTCAAGAAAGTTTTCAATGATATTATTGCATTCATAATTATAACAGTCAAAAAGGGGTCAAAAGGAAAATGTGAATTAAGCATTAAATTTCATCTACACCTTTTGTACGAAGACAAGTTTAATACACTCACGGTTTACTTAAGGATAAAAAATAAAAGAATTTTAAAAAAAGTACGTAAACATAAAGAGAGAGAGAGAGAGAGTGAAATATTTAGAAAGTAGGAAAAGGAAGAAAGGAAAAGTGTTAAAATGCATCTGGTGCTATGGGTTTGCACACTCGCGACTACTGCTTTAATGTTGATACGGGCTGAATTACAGACTGTTTACGAATGGAAATATCTAGATTTTTTATGGGAATCGGACGAACAAAAACAGAATGCAATACGGACAGGCAAATATAACTTATCTCGAGTATTACCATCAGATCTAGCACTAGCTAAAGGTAATTATATTATGTTATTTTGTATTTATTATTTATTAATTGTTGCTCAAGTTATTCTTTAACGATATAATATTTTTAATCTTATTCTAGTTTTAAATTATTATATTTAATATATTAATTATAAAAGAATACTAAAAAGTTACATTGCATACAAATTTAAAATCAAATAGTTTAGACCTTCCTGTAATGCAAACATTAAGTAAATCCGAAAATTCATTTCAAGTCTAACAATTGAAATTTTTCTATAATATTATAAATACAATGTTTCTACAAGTGTATAAGCTTAATATTAGAGCCCATAAAATGTTTATTAAATATTATAACTCATTGTTTTATAAAATTAATTATTAGTTATATAAAAAATCTTGAATACTTTAAATACAGTGTAATAAATAACAAAACAAAATTATCATAAAATTTTGTTATAGAATTCAATTTGTCGTTAGAAATATTACTTTTGTTTATTTCTGATAGTTTCTTATTTATATATTTAAATATATTAAATATTCCATATATTCAATATATATAGTTTTAACATTGTTTCAGAAAACTTATTGAAAATGTAGTAATATTAAATTCAAATACAGATCGTATTTATTTATATGTAATTATCCAATTTATTCTAAAAACTTATTTATAATCCATACTATTAATTATATTACTCTGAAAATGCAAGTAAGATCGTCAATATATATTGAGAAAATAAATATTTTCGAATGCTAAAGTACACTATAAGAGAGTTTATACAAATTCACGATTTATTTCATTATATTGTAAAATTTCTCATTCAAGCAATTAACAGTATATTCCATCTGTTAATTATAATATACAAAAACTGCTAATTATAAATTATTCAAACATTCTATAATTTATTTTTACAATCACAATTTATAAAATTTTCATCTTATTTTCAATTTTTTACTTAAAATTGTTTCATGTGTTCTAGCTTTTTATAAAAAAAATACAAAATAATTAAGATTATTCTCAATATAATTTTTAAATTATTATTTAAAAATAATAAATTACTCATATCATTGTATGAAATACTCAAAACTTAAAGCCTTTCATTAAACATTATTATTATTAAAATATAATTTTTTCGGATAAATAAATAAAAATAACTTTATAATACAGACATATACATGCTATATATAAGTAATAAAAAATCCATCGTAATTGAATTAAATAAATTACATCGTGTTTGCTATGCAATTCAATTCTTATTAAACTACGAATGATAGCCACTATTTTAAACTATAGAATTATTTGTCTTTAAAGAATTAAAAACTATTTTATAGATGCAAAGAAATTTTATATCAGAAAATATTCACGCTTTCCTCTATTTATAACTATATAATGAATAAATATTGCGAAAATTGGTATTTGTAGATGGACGAATATTTGTTTCTCACATCGGTTACATAGGGACACCAGTTCGACTCAGCATTGTATCAGGCGACTCAATACCAACGTCGGGCCCTTTATTATTGCCATATCCTGACTGGTCATGGCATACTAATGGTGATTGCAATGGTATTACGAGTGTATATGGATTGGCTGTAAGTCTATCGTACACGATCTTGCTCTCCATTTTTACGCCTCTTTCTCATTCTATCTTGCTCTCTTTATTATTTATTTACTTTCTTATAAATTTATTATTTTGTTATAATTATTTTTCCTACAATCTGGGAACTTCAAGAATTATACCTACAAATGCAAATTAGATAAACAATAATTTACGATATATTTTTAGTTGGTACAATTCTTGATAAAACTTAAAAATTTTTTAATAAATTTACTGAAATAATGTTTACATATTTTGCAACAGAGTTTTCAGTCAAAATTTAATTACTTAAATATATTATCAGAAAATTTTTTGGAAATTATTTTGGAAAGCAATAACTGTGAATATAAATAAAAATGTAGTATACTTATTCCAATTTATCTATTATACCAAACTTATTATTATGTATTTATAAATATATTACTTAATCGATAAAATTATATAAAAATATTTAAAAAATACTTCTAGTAAATTTTCCTTAAGAAATGTGGGATATTGCGAAATTAACAAAAATTAATATTATAATATAACTAAAACTACTGAAATAACTAAATTTATCATAATATAAATTAAATAATTTTCTTTTTTAATTGTACTCTTGTAAGATGTATAAATTAAATATAGTTTTATAAAATAATGCATAAAAATATAATATAGTATATATAATTCACCTATTTCTCATTTAAACTAGATTCTATCATTATTGATATTATTATGGTATAAATATAATTTTAATAGAAAATTTATGATAATGACTATAAAAGAGAAATATAGGAATAATTAAAACGTTGTAACAATATAATAATCTTATTAGAAAAATATTATGCAAAATTGTAATAACTAAACTTTAAAACTCGTATCAAAGTGGGAAAATTCTTTTTATTAGTGGAGTCTATTATTCTTTTTCTGTACAAAATGAATGTTTATTGGTGGATTTTATTGTTTCTAGCGGTTTACATAACTTTATATTTAGCATCAATTACGCAAGTATAATTATATCATAACAACTTATTATAGAAAATGCATGCAAAAAAAACATATTATGAAGAAAGCTATCAGCTTAGAGAAATTTGATTTTGACAGATCGATCAATGCAACAGGTTGTGGGTTTTAGATACCGGAATCTTGGAATACGCATCAGCGAAAGCCTGTCCAGCACAGCTGCTGGCTTTCGATCTTACAAGAAATAAACTAACCAAGAGAATCAAGATACCGAATCATATTGCACAAAATAATCAAGGCATGACACGTTTGGTCAAACCGATAGTCGAAACCAAAGGGCAGCAATGCGATCATACTACCGTAAGATACTTTTTCACTTTTGCTTCGTGTTTCAATAACAAAATGTTATCTAAGTAGCCGTTTCTTACATTATGACTTTGTAAATATTAATTTCAAGTTAAAAATTAAAAATAAAAAATACCGATATTTTATAATATACATATCATTTTGGTATTTTGAGATTATAATAATATATAAAATACATTGAATGTAATCTGAACATAATTAATTTAAATGCTTTCAAAATATCAATAATTCTTTATTTGAAGAACTGTAAATTGTTTTGAAATTTAAAAGGATTTTATTTAAATAATATAATTTATATATTAATTTAATATATTCAATACTACATATTAGAAATTTTTTCTATTAAATTAATGCAATAATATTGTTTTCTTCAATATACATAGATATCAGTTGACTTATCATTTTCATTGTATTATGTTCATTGTATTATGATTATATATAAATTAAAAACTTTTTTATTTTTTAATTAGTAATATATTATTGTATACTTACAGCACCAATAATGATATCGTTTAATTCAATCATTATATTTTTAACTTTAAGGATATTAAGAAATTTCATTAATAATATTGTTGAATTATTTAATTGAATTTATTTATAATAAAATATTCAAGATTTAACACAAAACTTATATGTTTATTCAAATCATTTAATTCGGTAACTAACAATGATTTAAATCTTCTAGGTATATATGACAGACTCGGTGGGACATGGTTTGGTAATCTGGAATGGCATTGGGTTATTTCGTCTTGAAGGTGAGGTGTACAATCCTATTGACTCGGCTCGTAATGTCAGTATCGGTGATTATAATCCGAGTGTTGCTGGCGGTGTCGTCGACATGTCCTTGTCACCTAATATCTTTCCTTATGAGCCACGTTACCTATTCTTTAGACCTCTGGCTTCATACGACCTCTATGCTGCAAATACACGTGAACTCACACGTAGTATTTACGGTTATCGGATAAAGTACTTTGGAGCAAGAGATATACTAACTAGCCAAGCGGTGGGTCAGGCTTTCTCCTCGGATGGCACACTTTTCCTTGGACTCACGCGAGAAATGGCCATCGCTTGTTGGAATAGGTACAGAGAAATGGCTAAAGAGAACATTGTAAGTAAGAAGTCAAGATATTAATAATCTACCAAGATTTATTTTGAGTTTATATTAAATTATCTTTTTTCTGATCGATAAACTGATACAAAATTACTTTGAATTGATTACGTCATACTAATCTCATTAGTAGTTGTGAATTTAGAATAGAACTGATTATTTTCAGCAATCGATATAAAGGAACCTTTGTTTCCATTCTGATAGGAATTTTCATAATAATAAAATGTATAATAGAATGATTATCATAACGATTCAATTATAATTCACTTCAATAATTTTAAACGTAACTAAATTGTATAAACGTTAAAGAAATATTAATATGAAATAAAAAATATAATATTTATTTAATACCTTTAAACATAAATATAATCATAAATGTAATATATTATTTAAATAATTACATAATACTATGCGAACATAGATTTTAAATATTATTATAATAATGAATAATTAGAAAGTAGATAATTAATTTAAGGCTTAAGTGCTTCAAAATTTATAAATTTTTTCAACAAATTATTTTTTTGAAATTATTAAATATTTGTTTTTGAGGATTTACAAGAGTTATAATTATTATATTAATTAAATTTAGTACAAAATTAATTGAATTTAATAATAATTATTTGTTCATATATTAGTCGATTCATCTCGATTAAGATAATAAATTTCTATATCAAATTCATAAAAATATTAAATTCTTAATATATTAAACTTCTACAAAGATATTACATTTTTTTAGTAATATATTCAGTTTATAATTAGTTCAATACAGTTAGTTTAATATAGATTATTTATTTTATTTACTTTATTATAATTTTTTTGCTTTGTTTTAAAATTTTTATACCTTTATATAAATTAAACTTAAATAAACACGCCAATTATTTATAAGTAATTATTTAATTTAAAAAAATCAATATTATTCTTTTTTATTTAGGAAATAGTATCCCAAGATGATAAGAGACTACAATACACAATCGGGGTCAAAGTAGTACCAAAATCAATAACCAAGACTTCGGAAGAATTGTGGGTACTGACAAATCGATTCGTCCAATTTCAATTGCATGTACTGAACTTTAATGATATCAACTTTCGCATTCTGAAAAGTCCAGTGAAAGATCTTGTAGAAGGTACTAAATGCGAAATGCCCGCGCAACTAAAGGCAGCCCTTCGACGAACAAAAGCAAATCTAACATATAAGTACCCCAAATGATTCGTTATTTTTTCCATTTATCTCATTTTATGAAAAATAATATTAATAAATTAGAAAGTTTATATATAGTTTACTTAAATTGCAGTATTTGTTAGTATTATTTTCTACACCTATTAATATCTATACTTGTGATACTATATGATATAAATAGTATTATGTTAAGATCAATGCTATTAAATAATTTCCTAATCGATATTACACACATGTTACTTTTTATAAATAAACTTTATAAATTAAGTTTATATATTAAAGTTCTAATTATATGTAATGAAAAATAATAATTCACTTATACATTAATATACTCGTTTATCTATGTGTTGATATAATAGATAATTGTTATAAATTTATAAATTATTAATATTTATATCTAAATTAGAATTACCTGCTACATCTAAGATAATTTTATAATCTTAATTCATATATATTTTGTTTTTGAAATGCAATTTTTTTATGTAATTCATATTTGATTTCATTCTGATTGAAAATATTAAGATGTGAACATTTTCCGAAAATATAGCTATAAATATTATTTAATTAAAAGTTATATAATAAATATTAAATAAATGCATGGTATTATTAATAAATGGCCATGAAAATTATTCGTAATGAATTTTTTTTAATTACATCATTGTTATAGTAAGATAACTGCATAATTAAAATTGTTGTTAAATTATTATAAATAGCGTTAAAGTACATTCTACTTAATTAAAACAGATATGTAATGTAATGCAAATTATGGATTATTAAGTAAAATGGAATGTAATTTAATGTATACCTTAAAATAGAACAAAATTATTTTTTCGTAATTTTACATATATAGAATTCTTTTTTGTACTATGTTCATAATAAAAAATAAAAGATGTTATATTAATCTGATCAGTAACTATGATTGCATAAATATAACTGTAATTGTGTACATGGTATGACGAATTACGAACAAAGTATTTTAAAATTTTAATTGTACTATTTATTTATAATTTAATTGTACAATTGTATTATTTGTAATTTCTATGGAAATTGAAATTTATTCATTTTTGCAATAAATATTTCATTATAACTATATTTAATTATCAATATAAATAAGAACATGGAAGCTAAATTGGAATTATACATTTTTCATGAATTTTCAATATTATGAAAATTTTTGTTTAAATAAATTTTATTTAAAGATAATATTTCTTTCATCTACTAAATAATAATAAAAAACGGTAGATGCACATTTATTAATAGATGAAAAACGAAAATAAACCAGTAAAGACATTCTAAATGTTAAACTATATATAGAATTATATACGAAAAATAAATGATATTTAAACTAAATGCATATGTGCATTCTATGGTAGAGTAAGTTAGTAAATAGATGTTCATACGCGTGCGTGTGAGTGCCCGCGCGCGCATGTGTCATAAGCAGAGATAGGGAGAGATATGAAAAGCACAAGGATTGCAAGTGTCGCATTTCAGTTTACTAATAGTAATATGTAAATTATTTTCTTCACGGGATATTGATTAATCATGTGCAAATCTCATTGTACTACTGTATGTGTTTATATACAAATGGAGATACTTCCACATTAGCTTAGTTAATAAACAATATACTACGATTTATCTGCTTAGATTTTTATTCACTTTTCAAATCTAAATATTATACATGCATTTACTTAATTTAATATTTAATTGAATTTATTCAAATTACAAATTCGTTTATAATTCAAAATTATATAATTTTACTTATTCAGAAAAATGTTTAAAATTACATGTATAAAAAATTTTTTATGTGGTAATTTTCTTAATTGATAATCTTATATAATATTATATACAACAAAATAAAAATATTAGAAAACATAAATAAAGTAAATAAACGAGACAGGTCATAGGTGAAAACAGAAAAATAGTACGAAATTCGGAAAGAGTATTACAGAGATGTCGAACTTATGAACATGGAGGGTAAATTTGAAGGAATAAAAACCTGGCTAGACAAAGAGCGTGCAGATAAGAATGGAGATTATACTTTTCTGAAACTTTTGCAGAGAAAAGTTTACATATAATATGCTATACGTTTAAATTTAATGTGCTAAATTTTATACTTTTACTTAAATAATATTAACATATACTATTCATATGTATGAAAATTTTATTATTTTTTTATGTGAATTATATTTATCATATTAATTTTATCTACTATATAACTTTATTTAATAAATTATTAATTATTTTAATAATCCACATATATATACATATATTAGAGTATTTATATAAAAATACAATTTTAATAGAATACCAAAAAAAATTCTAATTGTTTAATTTTCATCTTTATTTTCATCTTGTGACATACTTTTTTAATTAACACCGGGTTCTAATCGATTATTTTCTTTTTTAAATGTCTTCGTTTCTTGATATTTTGCTTTTCTTTTTTTCTTTTGTTTTCATTTATTGACGTTCATTGCTTTTTAATTTTATTATCTTTACAGTTTAGTGTTACATACGAACTTATACTTATTAATTTTTTTTTACCTAATTACTTTATTTTTTTAACGATTTTATTACATTTATTACAAAGTAATTATTTTGTACTGTGATTTCTAAACAGGATAAAAAAAGAATTAAAAATAATATTACTTCAACTACTTTAGTTATTTTGTTTCTTAAATCTTTAGCTTTTGCTATATCAACTGTGCCTCAATGTTATTGAATATCATGGGTGTTTATAGCACTTTCCCACCATTCATAATAACCTATCTAAAAAGAAATTAAGTCAATTTATAAGTAAGTGTGTACATGCCACAAACAGTTCTAATAATTGTCCGAAGACATGGAATTCCTAATGTAGTTGATTATCATCGTGCTACTACAACTATTAAATCTTCTATAATTCGCCATAGCCTATTCTTAAAATTACTGTTTCTATCTGCAAAAAAGTACTTCTCAGTAAATGGTTGTTTAATGATTTGTACCCTTATCTAGATATGTAAGATGTTTTCACCCTTTAGTTCATAAATTCCTATAGAATACGGTATAGAAGTAACTTTTCACTGATCAGTCTTATTTAATGTTTATATGATTTTCTACCAAAAAATTTTCTCCTCTCTAGATCCCTTATAGCATTGCCAAAAATGATAATGCTTCCATTTCTTATGAGTCATATAAAAAAAAAGAATCATAAAAGTTGAGTGTAAAATCAATATCTATTTATTTTCGTACGTCATGGATGCGTATTATTATTTTGAATGATATGACATGAATGTGAATCTTGAAAGAATTTGAAAGAAATATTGTCTTGTTCGTCCTGTTCTTTTCCATTAAATTATATTGTGATTAATTATTTTTAGATTATATTTATATTTAGAGTAAATTATATTTAGAGCAAGATCTTCTAATATTGAGTTTACCATCTTCAATCATAGAGCTGAATTTTCACTTAATGACTTGCCGTATATCATTAATTACAACCATTTTTGAACAGGCATTCCACAGTATTATCACTTTTCAAATTTGTAGGCGTCATCATTGTTGGGCGCTTTACGAAAGAAGAGACTCTATTTACTTAATCAATCTGTCTTATATCAATAATAACGTATTGTATTGATTTGAACTCAACTATGACATCAGAAGATCAAAAGACGATATCATCCTCAGTTGTATCACGTTTGTTGGGTATATTTCATTGGCCTTAATTTGCGACTGCATCTGTTAGCAGCTGTTACAATTCTGAACATGTCTGTGACCTCATAGAACATTCTTTACTAGTAGTAGCTGCGTGTCAAATAGAGAAGAGTCTTATTGATTTCACGATAAATTACAATAAATGTATTGCGCCCTCCGTGAATATTCCTATTCAGGGATGATACGAATTTTTCACTTATTAAATAGATCATCCTTGTCATAGTTATGTGTATCTAAAAAATATTGACATAGTCGACTTTGAATTAATCTTTTATTTTTTAAAATATTCCTTGATAATAAATTATATTAGAATTATCATCACTTCTCTGATTGGTTAAGCCAACACATTAACAAAATCACTTTGTGATAATAACTAATGTAAAAACTTTATTACTAAATTATTTAGTCTATTGCACCGGTTATCAAACGAATTGTTTATTTGATATAGCTATTTAAGAAGCTGATGGTTTGTCAATACCAGTAAGTCAGTCATGAATGTCACTCCCACATTCCGTACATGTTCAATTTTACAGAGGAGAATTTTCTTTCGGTTACAGAATAATTTTTATTTTACACGTTTTACAATATTTAACCTAGCTTATATTTTATCGTAACTAAATAGAATACTTACCTAATTTTTCAAAACAATTAATAATCTAAATTTAAAAATACATTGTTATTTAGAGAATACTTTGAATATCATGAAGGAAATTATTAAAACTTCCTTTTTTAATTACAAAAATCAAATATATAAATATATAAAATATAAAATGTTTAATGATGTTTATATCAATTTTAAAAAATTATAAATATTAAAAATTCGAAACATATATTTAATAGAACATTATTTTTTAAATTTCTTATTCACGTGAAAATGATAATACATTGTATGCAGAAACTTACCATTTTCCCATGAAATAGGATAATTCTAAATAACATGGCGTTAAAATAACTATACATTAATAAATTCCACGATAAATTAATAATAATAAACCGTTATCAAATTTATTAGTTGTAATGAATCATATCAAATAATAACCCATTTGAAATATGTGATTAAAAATTTTATTACTCTGTTGCTAGCTTACGATTAAGAAATAAAACACCTAAATTTAAAAGTTATTAATGCTTAATTTATTTACTTAAAAAATAGTAATAAACACCTTTTCAATTACGAGAATTATTATAAATTATTATATCAATACTATTATACGATTATAAAAATAACAGTTGATTTTGTAAAAACGTTCTTGTTTAAATATGCGTTCATTCTATAAACTAATTTTATATTTTCAATACCATATAAAATACATTTTTTTAATTAAATTGGTTAATTTAGTCTTAAATGATTCATAATAAGGTGTATT